GGACTGAGACCGAGAAAGCACGTTCATTTTCCTCCATCTCCTATCTTCCCTCATCTATCCATTTCGCGCGTGTGTATAGCCTTCCCGTTTCATTTCTCTCCTTTGACCTTATCTGGCAGGGTCGCAGCGTTTTTTTTTTTCTCTCATTTTGTTCGTGTTTGATAACTATTGTGTGCTGCGCTGGAGTAAACACCTGGTCTCTGCCAAGGGATCTTTTGGCATGAGACCTTGTGTAGGGTCGTCATCTAGCGTAGCATGAGAACTCTCCCAGAATCGTTTCCGCGTAGCTGTCGCCTAGAGAGATGCAAGAAGACGGATCGCATGACAGCGCTCCTGGTAGTAGATGTAAGACTGCTGCTTCACTTTTTTGTCTGGGGAGTCCATTTCGGTGCACTTTGCATAAATTGAGCCCGTGCAGAAGGAAGTAGTGTCCAATGTCCTATGGCCATGCGCAAAGTCTGTCCTAAAAGATTGCGGTTGCGTATCTGGATATGACAGACATAAAAATTTCTTTGCGCTATCTCTACTGTACAATGTAACCCATGTCTGGCTGCTGTTCTTCTAGAGCTAAGGTTTGCTAAAGGTCTTTCAGCATGGTACAAGCTTTCTTGATAATGTAGAAACCCGGAACTTTGTTGCAAATAAGCTAATAAAAGAATGTTCAGTTTGTCAGTGAAAATTTTTGTACCGACATCAATTGTCTTTTATTATTCTCATGTATTGTAACTGAATCGAGGGTACATAGGGTTGTTCACAAGCCAATGTGATTCATTTTTGATTGCCTAATATCAACGATTTACAGCTGGCAACTTTTACAGATGTTTCTTTCTGCTGCCTCCTTTCTGATACATGACAATATTGAATAAGTTACATCAAGTTTTTTGTTTATTGGTATCTTTATCTCGCTGGCTTTCGTCACCTTTCAGTTTTTTTTATCAAGCTTGTCCCGCGGATTTTGTAAGGCCTTCAAGGCGTTCCAAGTTTTTTGTTTTTCTTTGGCTGTGTATTCCTTCATTAATAGCCTGTGTACTCATGTGAGAAATAGACAGGCTGATGAGAAAGAATGCAGGGTGGCGACATTTCCGCTGGGGCAGGATATTAGATTTTTCTTAAGATGACGTCATTGATCTTTCAGAAAATCGCTGATGTGTCATGTGTGAGACAGCACCTACATGGCTAATGTGACATAGTGATTAGGCTAGTTTAAATTCTAATGGTTAGTTCCAGCTCTCAACAGTGATGCAAGACTTCTATCTTGGGATTAGAGGTACCACCGTGGGCCCATGGAGTTATGGCAAGCCAATACTTTAAAGATCTCTAGCTTATCACTTTCATGTTCATTTTTTCAGTAATGGACAAAATGCCTAGCTAGAGTTATGCTGAAGGCCTTTTGTTGTGCCAAAGTTTTTGGCATCATGGGCTTGATGTAGAAATGCTTTGGGGTGCACTGTTGTGGCCACAAGCAAAAATAAGAGAAATTGAGGCCTTTCTATTGTGCCACCCCCCCTTCATTTCTGTTATCTTTTTTACCACCTCTATAATATAGGTGATAAAAAGGTCACATAATCTTTCCCAAATCCATAAATTTACTTAGAAGCGCTAATATTTCCAATGTTATTACTTCATGAGATGCTACGAGTCTAGCTTGTGCACTCATTTCAAGGCAGGCCGTTCGCGCTACCATTTGTGACAGGATTGTAGCAATACAAAGTTGAGCTGTCTCATTATTGTTATTATTGACGGGGGTTGGGTCTACTTCACAATTTTTTTCGTTTGTTTTACTATTTTATGATATGTAGAATCATATTGACTGTATTTATCCATCATGTATATTTCCTGAGCTTTGGGATAAATGCATTATGCACCCTGAAAGAATGAGCATCATGTACTCTGTCATCTGCATGCTTTGCAGAATTGAAAATATTGTTAAAGGGGCACTGGGGGGGACATAAAATATTACGGTTGAGATAGCTTGCGTAACCAATTCCCATGTACATGCGTATATCACGTGCAAAATGTCAACAATGAGTGTAGCTTGGCAAGTATCCTAAATTACTTTTAAAGTCTAAATTTTTAAGTTTGAATTTTGAAGTTAAGGACATCATCAGAAGGGACTCAATGGAGACCCCCTTACTTCCCTCACATCACTATGCTGCAGTCAATAGAAGTATCATGACGTCATGGCCGTCATTTTTCTTTAGCTGCACCAGTCTGTACATCGCAGTGGCTGCTCGCAAGTCCATAGCCGGTGCGCACGCGTTGAAAGTTTTGCGCTTGGTGACACTGCTGTCCTGTTTCCTGTTCGAAAGGACTTTTTGGTGGGGACCGTGCGGAAGTGCCTCAAAGATTTTTGTGCTGACGTTGTCGAGAACTTGACCTGTAGGTGGTGATAGTTGCACCCAGCGGCTTGACATTTTCGGAGCTCTCTCAAACCTGAACTGAAAGTGATCGGTAATGCGGAGCCTGTAATTTTTTGTCTGTAGAGTCCATTTCGGTGCACTTTGCATAAATTGAGCCCGTGCAGAAGGAAGTAGTGTCCAATGTCCTATGGCCATGTGCAAAGTCTGTCCCAAAATATTGTGGATGCGTATCTGGATATGACAGACATGAAATTTCTTTGCACTATCTCTACTGTACAATGTAACACATGTCTGACTGCTGTTCTGCTAGAGCTAATGTTTGCTAAGTCTTTTAGCATGGTACAAGCTTTCTTGTACCATGTAGAAACCCGGCACTTTGTTGCAAATAAGCTAATAAAAGAATGTTCAGTTTGTTATAGAAAATGTTTGTACCGGCATCAATTTTCTTTTATTATTCTCACGTAAGTGAATCGAGGTACATAGAGTTGTTCACAAGACAATCTGATTCATTTCTGATTGCCTAGTATCAGAATTTACAGCTCGCAAGTTTTACAGATGTTTCTTTCTGCTGCCTGCTTTCTGATACATGACAATATTGAACAAGTTACATCAAGTTTTTTGTTTATTTTTATCTTATCTCACTGGCTTTTGTCACATTTCAGTTTTTTTTTTTATCAAGCTTGTACCATGGATTTTGTAAGGCCTTCAAGGCCTTGCAACTTTTTTGTTTCCCTTTGGCTGTGTATTCCTTCATAAATAGCCTGTGTACTTATGTGAGAAATAGACAGTCTGACGAGAAAGAATGCAGGGTGGCGACATTTCCGGTGAGGCAGGATATCAAATTTTTTTTAAGACGACTTCATTAATCTTTCAAAAAATCGTTGATGTGTCATGTGTGAGACAGCACCTACTATACATGGCTAATGTGACATGGTGATTAGGCTAGTTTAATATTGTAATGGTTAGTTCTAGCTCTCATCAGTGATTCAGGACTTGTATCTTGGGATTAGAGGTACCACCGTGGACCCATGGAGTTATGTGCAGCCAATAGTTTAAAGCTTTCTAGGTTATGACTTTCATGTTTGTTTCATCAGCAACAGACAAAATGCCTAGCTAGAGTTCTTATGCTGAAGGCCTTTTGTTGTGCCAAAGTTTTTGGTATCATGGGCTTGATGTAGAGCTGCTTTGGGATGCACTGTTGTGGCCACTAGTAAAAATGAGAAAAATTGAGGTCTTTCTATTGTGCCACTCCCCTTCATTTCTGTTATTATTTTTTACCACCTCTATAATATGGGTGATAAAAAGGTCACATAATCTTTCCAAAATACATAAATTTATTTAGAAATGCTATCGTTTCTATTATTACTTCACGAGATGCTACGAGTCTAGCTTGTGCACTCATTTCAAGGCAGGTCGTCTGTGCTACCATTCGTGACGCGATTGTAGCAATACAAAGTTGTGCTGTCGTATCATTGTTATCATTGTTGGTATTCATCATTTCATCATGAAAAGTATTCATCTGGCACTTCATTGTCTTTCATTCCGCATAACAGCTGCACAACAACGACAGTGAGATGCCACAGAGTTTCGTAGTTGTTTATTATAATTTTACCACATTGTTTCCTCAAACTTGGTTTATTGCGAGTCTGGCCTTGTTGGAGGAGTTGACTAATTTTTAGTGATTTAGGGAAAAATTATGTGGACCTTAGGGGGTGCTGTCAAAGTCTCTGATGTCAGGGTGAGCTGGTGTGAAAAATTTAAGGTGTCGTTACCACCTGCATTTCTTTCTTTGTGCAATTTTTAACTCACCAAGGGTCTTGCTGCAAGAGTGGTAAAAAGACTAATTTTGTTACATGAGAAAAATGGTCTTTTTGTTGTGCTTTTGAGCCCTTTGTGGAATTAGAACAAGACTTTTAGCACCACTCTGTTGTGCATTTTAGAGGAATTGAGCTTTCATGTCGTTCAATTCCACTTGGCCTTCTAAGTAGCTTACAGTAGCTCTAGGTGGCATCACCATTCCACCACCCGCGTGTAAGTTCCTGGTAGTTTGACATTCTGTTCACTCTCTCAAAACTCAGTGGACAGACCAGAACTCTCTCTCTTCAATTACCTCATTCCATCCCCATTTTCATCGTTGCACAACATTCTGTTACGAATTACGAAAAACTGTCAGCCCAACAGCAGCCGAGACTGTCGCTGTCACAGAGAATTCACATAAATGTTATATCCGACGCTGCTCACTTATGTTCATGGCATGACGTGCTTTTTAGCGTTTCAGACAGTTGACGATTCCCATAGAGACACAGATTTGTATTGTTAGTTTTGGGTCCGAAACTTTGATGTCCTGGCACAGTTGCTGCACAGCCAAACATAATGTTTTATGTAGTAACGATGAACCTTTAACTATTAATACGCATGGTTGAGAAAAGATGCTCATGGTTTGAGTGGAAACCAGTTACCATGACTGCCCTTCAGATGTGAAGGGCAGGCATGTTGCAGTTTCGAGGGTGGTGCTCACACTGGTTTTTAGCATGTTGTGTTGTGTATTTTGTGATCATGTCAGACACTTTCAATCATTTTGTATTATCGAGCACTGCATCTTGTTCAAGTCCCGTGTTCTGTATTGTTGCTCTCCGACAGGGCCGACAGCAGTACTACCACCGGCGCCAGTGCCAGCTGCCTCAGCAGCCGGGGGGGAGGCCCATCGAGTGACAGCTCGTCCGGTCCCTCCTCTCCGCACCAGGAGGAGGACCCTCTGAGCGACCGGCTGCTGCTCGGACCACACAACATTCACGAGGGGGGAGGACAGCACCCGGTCAAGTTCGGAGAGCTCGTGCTTCTAGGGTGGGTAGAGAGATCATATGGTTCCCTTTGCAAATGAAGGAGTGCATATAAACGAAAGACGAAATCGGACGGATCCAAGGGGCTTACACTCAACTTAAAAGGTTTATTGGAAAAAAACGTGAAAAGAGAGCCAACTTAAGCTGACTGCGAAGTCACCACAATGCAGCTGTCTTGCTGAGTTTCATTTGCGACGCTTGTGCCTGTCTAAGTTCGCGTTTGTTATTTGCACTGCTTCAGTCTAACACTAAGGCGTGCAGCCTTCTTTTCAATGCTTATAGTGAGTCACGTGTTGGAAGTAAAGGAGGAAGAAGGGGCAGCGGGCACGAGCGTGAGCCAGGAGGGCTGGTTCGCTCAGTTGATCCCTTGACCTTCAATGCAGCCAGACGATCGGGTCCAGGTCTCCTTCGTTTTTCACACTTCGTTCTGGTGCCGAAACCCACCCGGTCGTCTGGTTTTCGGCTTCGACTATGGATCAACTTCGAGCACAGCGTGGCTTCTGCCGGACAGCCATCACAAAGGCAATATCGACTCTCAACACTCTACTGGCAGTCTCGATGACCCCTGCTCACTGGCTCCAGGAACTCATCGAAATCACTGTGGTGAAACACACTCACCTCATCACCGTTGATGAGGATATTCAAGCTGCGCTACATGGCGAGGACCTCGATGCAGACTTGACCACAGCAATGGTTTGAAGATCGGGTCGTCTGTGCTAAAGCAAGGGTTCGACGTGCAATCGAACCGCTGACGCCAACCCCACCCGCATACGTCGACATCACAACCGCTCCACTCAGTGACCCCATCGCAGGCACATCGCAGCCACCACAACATTACCTTCACCCGGGCTTCCGACTCCCACGACGTCGTCTCACCGCGCACTGCCCAAGCTGCACATACCGAGTTTCTCAAGCGAAGGACGCGACTGGCAAGGATTTTGGGACCAGTTTCAAGCCAGTACCTACAATAACGACTGGATATCGAAAATTGACAAGTTTCAATACCTATTGACATACCTGACTGGGGCAGCAAAGGCAGCCATTCAAGGTATTCGCCTGGCCGAAGCGAACTATGACGTCGCCATTCAGATACTGTCGAACCGCTTCGGTCGTCGCGACATGCTAGTTGACGACCATCTCGACACTATCAATCGCACCAGTCCGAAGTTCTGAAGACGTAACTCTGTTAAGAAATCTTTATGATGAAGCCACATTCCGCATCAATGCCCTGGAAGGTCTTGGAGTGTCTCCGGGAGAGTATTGCATGGTACTGCTGCACGTGCTTTTGAAGGGGTTGCCTCCAGATTTCAGCATCTTCTATCATCTATGGCAGAAAGAAGCCATGCTAACGGAGAACGCTACAGCATCCCAGGAAGCCCGATCACAGGTGAAAGACCTCCCGAGCTTCATGAAAGGGCAAGGGGAAATACGGGGAGAAAGGGTTCTCGAATAGATATCGTCAACAGACCAGAGGTCTTCGCAGCGAGACTTGCAGACACCACAGCCACCCTTGCCCTCCACTACGTCTTTTGCACCAGAAGTTCGATCTCTATACTCGCACCCCTGTGTCCTGTGCAGCTATTTCGAACACACTGTCCAGGATTGCTCTGAACGTCTACCTCAGGAAGAGATGCGGAAGCGGCTTCACGAAAAGAAGCTGTGCTTTCGCTGCGGCAATCGCAACCATTTCGCCAACTGCCAGGACCCTGCAATGCAGCCAATGTGCGGGACGATATCTACCTTCTCTGTGCGACATCAACAACCTAACGAAATGCTCACAGCGTACCAACAACACCTCGGTACAACAAGATCATACACTGGGGTCCACCAGCATCCCTTCTCGGGCCGCAACTTCACTTTCGATTGGCTTCACGGCCGCTCTTGTACCAACATCGCAGCAGGCTGCGACATCGCTTGCGACCGGCCTTACGACTCCTCTCGCCTCGACGACGTTGCAGGCCGCGACTTAGTTTTCCACGGACCTCACAACTTCAATGCCAACTAACGTATAAACCGGAATATAAGTCGAGATATTTTCAATGAAGTAGTAAGCTAAAGTCGTCCATCGTCTCATATAGCGGTGTCTAGCCGAAAGTGCGACGCTGTCTGGCAACATGTGGCTTGCATATGCTTGTGAAGCCAGACGTGGCCATATCCGCATCCAAATCCAATCGCAGTCTGTTCTTTTTTTTCTCCGTCTGTTTTCTTTGTATTCGTGATTTGCTTCCGATCTGTTCTGAGTTTTCGCTCCGCTTGACATTGCGCTGCATTTTTAGTGGCCTTTTTTTTTCGTTCACTGAATATGTCTAGCGGTGCGAGGAGGCAGTACTCAGCTGCGTTTAAACTAAATGTTGTTGAGTTGGCAGAAGTGAACAGGAATATGGCTGCTCAGCGCCGCTTTGGTGTATCGGAAAAAAGCGTGCGCTATTGGAGGGCGCAGAAAGGGAAACTGCAGATGTGCAATCCTCGAAAAATGTCGTTTTGTGGACGAAGTGCCGTTCATCTGCAGCTGGAGGATAAGATAGCGGACTTTGTGCGGGAAGTTCCTGCGCGCTCGCTGCCAGTGACCGTCGATACCATTAGCAAGAAAGCCGTGGAACTCGCTCGAGAAGCTGGGCTCACGAGAGAAGAGTTTCATGCACCGAACTCTTGGATGCATCGATTTATGCGACGCAAAGGACTTTCTCTCCGGTGGCGCACATCCGTCAAATGTTGCCGGAGGAGTTCGAGGACAAGCTCATAAACTTTCAGCGCATCGTGAACCGGCTTCGGGAGCAGAACGACTACATGATGGGGCAGATTGGCAACGTCGATGAGACCCCCGTGTGGTTTGACATGCCTTCGTCGACCACGATCACGCAGCGCGCCGCCAAAGGATGTGAAGCTGTTGTCCACTGGCAATGAGCACTCGCGCTTCACCATCATGCTGGCATGCACGGCAGATGGTAGAAAGCTTCTGCCCTTCGTCATTTTCAAACTCAAGACAATGCCGAAGGACAATGCCGCCCTGTGTTGTCGTTCACGTCAACAAAAAGGGATACATGGACGAGGCCATGATGCTCGAATGGATACGAGTGGTGTGGAATCTTGGGCCAGGTGCACTGCTGCGTCTTCGCAGCATGCTGGTGTTGGATGCATTTAGTGGCCACTTAACCGACGTAGTGAAACATGCACTCGGCGACGGGAAACGGACCTCGCCGTGATACCAGGTGGTATGACGTCCACCCTCCAGCTGCTCAACGTTGTGTTAAACAAGCCGTTCAAGGACCGAGTGCGGCTGGAATACCAAGAGTGGATGTCCGGCGACAACCCCAAGACACCGACGGTTCGCCTACAGAGGCCTCCGCTTGCGACTGTTTGTGGCTGGGTGCTTTCCGCCTGGCGCTCCTTGCCGGATTCTATGGTGGAAAATGCTTTCAAGAAATGTTGCATCAGCAACTCGCTGAATGGCACTGAAGATGACGCGCTGTGGGAGGCTGCCAGCGACAAACTCTCGTCTTCAGAAGACAGTGGTGCTTCGTCGGACGAATAGGAGCAGTTGCGATGGGGGTTGAGGGGAGCTCCGACGATTGGGGTGCGGTGCGCCCAATTCGCAAGTAAATCTGGTTCGGCAGTTTTGGGTTGTTTTCCTTTTTTTTTTTCTTTTTCGGTAACCTGAACTTGGGGGGTCGACCGATATTCCCACTCGACCTATAGTCCGGTTTATACGGTACAACTCCGAGTTTTGGGTACATGTAGTAAAACCGATCGCTTTTCATGCCATATACGGCGCTTCTATACAAGTACTTGTCACGAAGTTACGCCGTAGAGAGTTCGATTGCCAAGGGATACTCAGGATGCACCACGAGCATAGACTGCAAGGACCCGGTTTTTCACGGCCTGAACCACAGCTTGCGAAAGCAGTCCCACTTTCCAGACGAAGAGAGCAAACACACGTACTGCCCGTTGCGTGGCCCCGTGCACCCGCAGAGCAGCGAGCAGCAGTGCCGTTATGAGCCGCACTCAATTCAGGACATGGACCCCATGACCGTCTACGACGCCACGGAACATTACAAGCAGATGGAGCGTGTCGCCAGAGACCTGCACTGGATGTACAAGCGCCGCAGTGCACAGCTCCAGCACTACCCAAGCAGCTCATGCAGGGAACCGGCGAAAACGAAGACTTTCGGGAAATGAAACACATCGTGATTGACAAGTCGTTGGGAAAATCACACAGCGTCGTCTCCCAAGAATGCCGCCATGAGTCATACTCATGCACCCGAAATCGTCAGCTCGATGGGCGCCATTGTTTGCGATGCTGGTACGGACGCCGACAATTCGCTACCGGCCACAGAGCACGTAGACAAACCTCCACTGCGTCCAAATGCGGCTGAGATTCCCACTCTTAGTGACGTCACTGCCCGACGGAATCAAAATACTTTGACATCATTGTCCTCCTCGTGGAACAAAAAAGAATCGTCGTCAACCATGGATTCTTCACTCAGATCAGATGCACCTGCGAGCCAGGCACACAATCATGACCACCTGACACCTGAAGTGATCATGCGGAGCATATGCGCGCAGCACCTCCAGATGCTTGACACGGATCACCAACAACAGCCCAAAGATAACGATGATTACCAGGAAGCTTTCCGAATGTACAAGAGTAGACTAAAGTCAGACTCATCATACTACAAGAAGCGGTGCAAGAAACGTAAAAGCCACCGGCGTGAGTTGCGGCATCGTGTCGACGCGACCTGCAGCGCTAAGCAGAGAAGCGAGCGCACCGGTTCTCGAGACGAAACATTAAGGATATCAAACAACTTGACTGCGAACACATTTAAACACTATAGCTTGAATGGATGGCTCTCTCCGCAAGACAAGCCGCCACCTTGCTTAGCTTCATCATCTTTTGCAAACCCCTTCCATCGCCGGTTAACACCTCCTGGCTGCAGGTTCACTCAGAGCTTTCTCAAAACGTGCTTGGATTGGCCGGCTGCAGGAGTGTGTTGCAAATAAAGTAGGAAGAAGGGGCAGTGGGCACAAGCACGAGCCAGGGGCGCTGTCTCGTTCAGTTGATCCCTTGACTTTCAACGCAACCAGACGATCGGGTCTGGGTCCTCTTCTTTGTTTCTCACATCACGTGCATCTATCTTGTTTCAAATCAAATCAAATTGTCTTTTATTTAGACCTAATTATAAGAATTAATTACAAGAATGTACACAAAATACTTTGACTAGTAGCCTACATGGTTAGTAGTTAGTCCAACAGAAATAGTATAGCAATGCACATGATTGGTCATAACATGATTGGTTTTGGATGTGCAAGTTTTAACGACGTACAAGTCTACGAAGTAATGGGTGTTACGATTCACAAGACACGAACTAGTGTTTGCAAGCAAGGTCAAAGTTATGCATAGTTTTTATTTCTAGAGCCACTGTATTTCAGGTTACTGCTTCGAAAAATTCAAACAATCGTTCGCGAGAATATGGCATGCAGCCACACAATTCTGACCTGAATAAAAGGGGGTCATATGTTGCAGCTGTAATGGAGATGAAACAGGCACAACACCTGTGCATCTGCACCTGTATTTTGCAATGTGGAGGTAATGGCTAGTTTTAATTCAAGGCAACACAACTGCTTGACAGCTATGTGAATTGTAAGGTTTGTACTCGGAAACAAAATGCTCAGCGAATAAGCTACTTGGCCCGCGCTCACATCTCTGGTGAAAATCGGCATGTCCGAAGTGGTCGCTTCTTCGAAACAGCCATTTCTGTGTTCCCTGTTGTCAGTCCAGATATCGTTCAACATGGGCAGCTTTGCCTGCAGAGGTCGCACTATGGCCATTATAACTTGATAATTCCTTTAGCTTGATGTTATACTTTTTCATTTTTGTCAAATATTCATGACTGATAATTCTGATGAATAAATAAGTGTACTGGTGCAGTGACTAGAAAAAAAAAAGAATTTCAATTGAACCTAAAGTTGCGTGCATGTTTATAATAAATTTAGGGTATAACCGAGCTTCTTATTATTGAATGTGACTTTCTTTAATCATTGTTTCTGTGCTTTTTTTTATAATATTCATATCCATGTATCCATTTGTGTAATTCCGCATGTAAGATGATGTTAAAACCAAGTGAAGCCAAATGCAACGTCCTGCTTTTGTCCCTTGCCTGTGTACGCAGATACAATGGTTCTCTACCGCATGGCGAGAAAGGTAGGCGGCGGAGTAAATTCTTCCTGTACAGGCGTCCCTACCCCAATGGCATCAAGAAATCCAAGCACTATATTGTCAAGACACCGCAGTCTTCAAAGGCAAGCACTCCTTGAGCTCTGTGTTGTGTCTCTAGTGCTGTTCTTCCATTTTTCTTGATCTGTCTAGTGGTATGAAAAGATGCATGCCTGTGGTGTAGATATTATGGGATCACTCCTGTTGATCCCTACATTTCCTTACTTTCATAACATCCTTACATGTCATTCATTCACATTTACAATATCCCCCCCTCTCCATACCACCTCTACAAACTCTTTTTCCGAATGATTCACTGAGGCTTCAAGTGTTACGGATTTAAGATCGGTTGCGCACCAGCGGCGGCACTGCTCTTCTTTTATTAAGGGGGGGTGGGGCGTGGAGGCAGAGAACTTACTGTCGTGTGCGGTTTGTCAATGTTTATCCTTGGGGGAGAAAAGGGGGTAAAATATATTGGGGTGGGTGCCTCCTTTCCTCTACCGTTCGCTTCTCTGGCCACGTCTCTTGCACCTCGAGACAAATGTTGGCAAGCTTGGAGGCGTATAGAAAAAAAAAAAGCTATCTTGTTTGTTTACAGCAGTTTTGCCAGTTCTAATAATACAGATCTTTGGCAGTGCCCCCATCGAGCCAGCACCCAGGATGCTTGCTCGTCATTTTACTGTGTTAGTGAGATTATATCTAACTATATTTTGGTTTCGTTACGTACTCGTATCTCGTATTCCAGTGTTGTACATCTGCTTTCCTCCACATACTCATTCTCGGGATAGTAAGTTGCATAAGGGTTGTTGAGGGTCGAAACATTTCTTGACACATTGGTTTTTATGTCCTCTTGTTCAAACCCTGGTTCTAACAGCTTCCTTCATTGAGTCACAGTTTATTGTAGATAAGCAGAATCATTACCGGAATACTCTTGCTACTCTATGAATGTCTGGGGATTGAAATGGAAGAATTTGGGGTCCTGGCAGGCGCTTGCTTTCATTTCTTGTCCGCAGTTAGTGTCGGATCAAAATTTTGACTGGAACGCTTATGAGAAAGCCAACATGACCTATAGCACCTGATTTGTGTAATTATGACACGGTTATTAGTGTTGTCACGTGCAGTCATTATACTAATCATTCTGCTAAAAAAAAACATTGAGTTTCAATTCGTGCTTGAAGTAGTAGAGACATTACTATTTATTTGTTTCTTATGTGTGTCATTTGAAGCTTGTAGCGTCTTGCCAAGATGTTGTCTTTCTTGCGTGTCGTTGTGACAGGCGGTTCTGGACACCAAGCAGCACTCCATTTCGTACACGTTATCACGGACGCAAGCGGTCATCGTGGAGTACGTGCTCGACGAGGAAACGGACCTTTTTCAGGTGGGCACGCTGCTATGTCTTTCATTATTAGTAGCCGTGCAGAAATGGGATAAACGAATGCGAGAGAGTTACCCCCAGTGCAATTCATGGCTGTTTGATGACAGATCTTAGGTCACTTTTGTAAATATGTCAACAAAGTGAACATTATTATTAGTACAACATCATGTTGCCTGGTACCTCAGATAAGTCAACGAAAAACTGTAAACTGTGCATGTTTTCTATTTTTTTCTATGTGAAGTTGGTGTTCACGTATGATCTGGCCTGAATTGAAATTTGATATTTTTACGAAAAATCTGGTGCTAGGCAAAATTATCAGGAACGTAATAAAAGACAACGATACACAAAAAGTTTCTTCTCGCCTTCCTGTGATTTTAACCTCGCACCACGTTTTCCACAATACAGGAAATCATCTAACCCTACACTGTACTCTGGCAAATTTCAATAAATAGTCATGATATTGAAACTGGGAAAACATTGTTGCTGTTGTCACATTAAATAGATGACATTAAATGACATTTAGTCGACAGTCAGCCCACATTAGCGAATGAAGGTAATGCGTAAATATAGACATGGGCGCCATCTGGCAGTTATATTGGAAAACAAAGCGCACGGCGTGCGCATCCGTCTCGGATGCGATAAGATGTAGAACGCAAGGCGACGGGTAGGTGCCACCACTGTGTTGTCTTAGGAAAGCGTTGGAAACACTTGCCTTTTCGTGCAAGCGTTGCATTGTCAGCGCAGCGTGATAACCGCTACAGTCTTAAGAATTATTTATGTATGCATTTTCTAGTAAAAAGACATACATACAGAATATTGACGTGTTGTTATGGTGCCTCAAATATTCGCAATGATTGTTTTTTAATTGACAATTGCACAAGTATGAACACTAAATCTTGAGCAATATCGGTGGCCGTTGTGGATGGGGTCGGCTGTTTGAAGTGTCAACTGGTGCCGTTAAGGAGTATTGTTAAGGGTGGCCAAACAGACAAATGCAGAGACAGACAGACAGACAGACAGACCAAACTTTTTGCACCGAAGGCACCAAGAAAGACTATCGTTTTTAAAAAATGTGTTTCCTAATCATGTTGTCGCAATGCCTGTATATGCAAGACAAACAATATACGTATAATTCTTGTATAACGAAAAAAATGCAGTACGTTGATGTAGGGTGGGGAGAAGTGTACTGCTAAGAATTTCTATTTTTGCTTCACTGTTTCTTATTTTTCTTATCTTATTTTGTTTCTATTGCATTTTACATAAATTTTTATGCTCGTCCCTATATAACGCCCACGTTGGGCCCTTAGGGTAAATAAATGAAAAAAAAAGTGTTGTCTTCACGAAGTGCTTTTATTCACACAGCACTTCTCATTATACAATGTTCAATAAGGTTAACGGCCCTCGAATATCCACTGTTTTGGAGAGTCATGAACCCAACCACTCTTAAATGACTCTCTTGCTGCATTGTGTGCTGAGTTTAGTGCACGCGCACTTTCCTCTTGCAGATTGGCCGCTCCTCGGAGAGCCCCATAGACTTTGTGGTGATGGACACCGTGGCCGGGGGGGACAACAAGGCGGGTGCCTGTAGGGTCGCCCAGAGCACCATCTCCCGCTTCGCCTGCCGCATCCTCTGCGAGCGGAACCGATCGCATCGCTCGTACGTGTTCGCCGCGGGGTTCGACTCCTCCCGCAACATCTTCCTCGGGGTGAGCTCCGTGGACAATTGCTACAACTTGAGGACTAAAAGATTACCGGTATCTTGTGAGAATTGTACTGGTGAACAGTAGGCTTGTGAAAATAGCGAATTTTAGGCTTGAAGTGTATGGTGATTTTAGCTGAATAATATCGAATATAATCGTAATGGTATGCCAAACATATTATAAATGAAAATGAGTATATTTGTCCTTGACGTAACTTACCTACAAAATGTTTTTTGAAAATTGAGACACGGCCTGTGCAAAAGCATTATTCTTGGTTCAAGGAAATCGAGACAACTTTGAATGGTAGCACAATTTGAGTTGCAGTAGAATGCAACTGATAACCTGTAAAATATGTATGTTTTAACGTTCAATATACTTTAAGCAATTAAGGTGGTATAACAAGCTTTTAAACAGAAAGAATGAATCGATTTGAGGGCAGTATGTTCACTAAACCTTGAAGTAGGGCTTCGTGGCAGTGCAGATTTGTTCTAGATGAGTGTTTTCGCGGCGTAGCGCTTTCTACCGCAGTGAAACCATTCCTTACAGGAAGAGTAACATGCAGTTTAGTGTGCATCATTTCATTCATTGCGAATACTTCGAAACTTTCTATAACTTAAATTCAAACTGAAGTGAATTAGGATATTGTACTGTTAATTATATAATATTTGAAGCATTCTAATATTTGCACAAGCCTTGTCAACAGAACACTCCTTTGGCAACTCTGGGAAGACAAATGTGTTGCGAGACACGAGAATCGCCGAAGTTTGAAGAGGAGAATCACTGATGTCTGTGCTGAAGTCTGAAGATGGGGCTTTCATTTCAAAACCCCGTGGAACTGATGTCCACATAGTCCATTGTTTTGGTGTCAATGAAGGAAGTATCCCATCATGTTCTGATACCCTGACCAGCACTGGATCTTTCATTGCGTTCGGCCTAATGGCAGCTTCCGTCGAAAAACGTGCAAGTCTGGAACCCTGTAGGCATTCAGACAAAGTAAAGAAGATGTAAATGTGGGTGCTCCTTATATTAATATTGGTTGAAATAAAGAAAGAGTTATACAATTCTGAAAGCATGTTTTTTGGTGTTATCAAAGGAAGTGGTAAACTGCGATCGCACGCAGTGTGGCAGTGTCATGGGGTGAAGCGTGCTAACTGCAGAAGAAAAAATACCTGTAGTAAAGTCCACAACTTATTCCACTTTATATATCTCATAATCAGTTCCCAATGTACCACACTGATTTGTGATCTTTTTCAAATTAGATGTGTATGTGAGTTTTCTTGTTTCTTTTTGCTGAATGAGGGATGGTGCAGAAGGGCAATATTTAGTGCGTCTGGCCTAACCCTTGTTCAGTGAATTAAATATCAATCATTCACGCAGGAGAAGGCAACCAAATGGCAGCAGGACGGGGAGATAGATGGCTTGACGACCAATGGCGTCCTCATCATGCACCCGCAAGGGTCCTTTCTGCGGTGGTGCCACACCCGGAATCTGGCGTGAGGTGTCTGTCGGGGGCAACGTGTATGCCATCCGCGAGTCCCGATCGGCCCCCAAGAAGGGTGTCAGGGTACGTCTTTCGCACATGCCTCTTCTATTACACATTCTGTAGCAGATTACCGCGTAAATGTAGTAACGGAAGTGCCTTAGCATAACATTGCTTTCTTGCCATTGGAGTTACAGTCGCTAGCCATTTACTCGGGACTCGACAGGAACCGCTGAAAATTCCAAATATTTGAGAGTTCGAAAAAAAAAAAAAGAGCTCTGATTCACAAGAAGACACCTTTATTGGTGCCGGTGGCCGGAAAAACTTATCAACATACGTCTGCACACAAAAGCAATTGCAGACGATCAAGTTAGCCCATATTTGAGCCAGTGTTTGGCCATCACTGTAGGTCGTAGTGCTGTTAGGACTTGCGCTAAATTCGCATTTGATAGCAGTGGCATTGGCGGTGCCTCATCAAAGTCCCTGTTCACCTGTGCTGGTTCCCATCATCGTCAAACTTGGCGAAATTCCCGAAAAAGGTAAGATTGAGGTTGGTCACGTCCGATATGGTGAATGATTGAGGCTTTTTTTTCACCATCGTCAGTGTCTTGTAGTTGTCGCGTTTCTTTGTTAGTACCGACTGCGCAGACGAAACAGGTGGGTGTTGCAGCCACAGCAACAAGCAAAAGAGCGAGACAGAAAGCATATGAATCAGATCAGGCCTAGATGCAGAAACATTTGACAAGCAAATTTCCACATGCCCAAAGAGAATGACATCGGGCCAATTCATGCTTCAAGGCTGGTGGCTCTGTCCTTTCGATGTTCGTTTCATACAGGTGGCCATTTTGGACGTCACACCGAGTTGACTTTAAGTGTGGCTCGGCTTGACTTGCAGTTTGGCTATGGTAGCCATTCGGTGCAACTTGGTCGGATAAAGTGACTGCTACCTTCACCTTTGAGATTGGCAGTTGTAATTTCAGCATTGGCTTTTGTACATTGGCCAAAGCTGGAACAGCTGCGCCATTTGCGTCATTGGGCTCCAAACTGGTTTACCTGCGCCATCCTGTGCCAAACTGCCCCTGTTGTGCCAAATCTATTTATCAGCGCTGTACCGCGCCGCATGATCCGAATTTGGCTGCAAGGTGCGACAGCTATCTAGCACCAAGTCCGGAAACAAGGCTGAAACATCGTGTTGCAGTCACATGAGCTGAAGCTCTGAACTTCGATACTGAGGGCACGGTCGCAATCACTGGTCCGCGCACTAACTCGGCAGGCATCACCGTGAATGGCTTTTGTACCCTTCCACGAACTGTGCTCTTAAAGCGAAGAGACTTCGGAAAGAGCATCTCTCCCTGGAGCGGCCTTATTCTCTTACACCAGCATTTTGTAGAGTTATGCGATATCAGATAAAAAAAAGCTTAGCACCTAGCGTTACTTCGTATAACATTACAATTTATTGCTGTCGCAGTCATTGCTTGGCCATTTTGGTGGAACTATGTTTTTTTTATATATATAATTCAATGGCAGCGTTTAGAAAAGAAACTAAAGGTGCTCAAAAGAAGCGGGGGTGGTGTCCGGTTCCTGGAACAAGCTAAGACAGGTGCACAAGACTGCGCATGGCTGTCCTCTCATGGCTGCCGAGCTAGCGCGCACACCAGCGATTGCGACCGTGCCATTGGAAGCAAAGTTCAGAGTTGCTGCTCGAAAAACACTCTTTCCTTTCCCCCTCCTTCGCTCGTGTTTTTTCGTCTTGTTCAAACGGGTGGTGCATTTCCTCTCTGCTTCAACAACATGTGTCTTGAGCGGGGTGATGTTATCGCATGCGCCCTCTGAGTCACAGAGAAGGGCAGTTCATTTGATCTCTGCTTCATCTGTTTGATCTCTGCTCGGGTGCTTTCACCTATGGGTAGAACATATGTTGCACGACAGTATTTTATCAATATGGGCTTCATATGAGATTTGACAGCAACGGCAATGGCAAGAACCCGTCGAGAGTGACTGCTATCGCAAAAATAAGGCTATTGCACAATTGTTTGGAAAATACAGCAGCGGACAAATGTTGCTTTACGAGCGCTGTGTAACGGAGTTTAATCTGCTCTGAACGTTCTCCCTGACTGCTCCAAACTTGCTCAAAAAGACATTTTTGCCCCAAGCCTGCTATCAAAAGGCACTTTTGCCTGCTCCCAAACCCATGTACCCTGTTCCACCACCGATTGGCTTCATCTCTAGCCTTCGCCAGTGCAACTGTGCAACGTTTTGCTGCTGGCAACCTAGTAAAAACATTGTGAATATTATGGACATCTGGTCATAACGTTCTATGCCCCCCTGGATCAGTCAGCCGGAGTCCAAAAAATCTAACTGCACACTGCGGGGCATCCGAATTTTCGGTCGTGGGTTTGCGATACTTCAACGGGACGAGTGGCGGTGCTGTGGAGGTGTCTGAATAAGTGGACATGTCTAAATTTTCGGCGTTTGAATAAATGGTCGATGACTTTATTGGTGCCAGCTACGACAAATTACATATTTCGTTATGTTTGACTGTCGTAAATAGGATGTTTTCTCGTTCCTCATCTTGGGTCAGTGTGGATAAGGCTGTGCGATTTCTATGAGACATGCTCTATTTTCTTGCGTGCTCTGGTTTTTCTGCTTCATTTTCCCTGAAAATTATTTTAATACACAGCCTGTGGTATGGTCACACGAGGCATTTGCATCTTTTTATCCTATTTCTTATCCTGTAACGCTGCTGACTTCATTAATGGTGCATTGGGTTGGGCGTTTATGAGCGCTCTGAAAAGTGGCTCCACATTTGGGTGGTACAATTGAGGGCTCAGGCTACCATCCGCTGGTGCTTTCGGAGTGTCGGCCTCCGACTCGGAGTGCTCCTGACTGCTCTGATTTCGAACTGAGAGCGTGACGCAATGTGACGGAGAGGACTTTTCAAGTTGCACAAGCCCGAAAATCATGTAGCTGCCAGTAGATTATCAAGCTGAACAGCGCCAACAGCACGAGTGCGGATTGCATAATACCTCGTGCACGTGCGTTGTTAGTGGCATTTCTGAGCATCTGTGTGGCAAGTTCACACCTACGAGGCCATACATGCACCATGTCAATAAGCAGGCGGCTAGCAAAGGCAGAGGAAATATTAATGCTGCTCGCTGACAGCCACGTGATTCGACTTGAAGATGGCTGCTCGAGTGATTACTATTGCCAGATTTATGAACTGAGCTTCAGAGACTGTTGCTGTGACCAGACATGTCGGAGATGTCTACTGAATTAATCGGTGCCATTTGTCGATGCGGTGCAGCAAAGCTGGCGCAACAGGTGCGCTGCTCTGAGATTGCCAACGTATTGTTTTAGTTCGCTTCCTCTCGCTCTCTGTTTGTAAGCTGCCTCGGCATGATGACTCTAAGCCAGAAGACCGGGTGGGCTGACCAAATAAGCCATAAGTAAACAAAGATACAGTTTGAAGTGAAACAATGTTCTCCTAAGCTGGGCATCGTGCATGTGGCTTTCTTGCTTCAGCCTCAGATGTAACAGTGCTCTGACAATTGAAGATGCGTGTTGCTCTTTTTTTGTGGTCCAGATTGAAGACGAGACGAACGTTCTGCGAGACGGCTCGCTCATTGACCTCTGCGGAGCAACACTCCTCTTTCGGTCGGCCGAGGGACTCATGAAGTCACCGGTGGGTCGATGTTTCATTCTTAACATCTGTGACGTGTTAGGATATGCTGCAAATTTACCATTGCTAAAGTTTGCGTGTACTTGAAGGCGATTCAATGGTGAATGTGGTAGGAGATTTTTAGGGGGATGGTAAATGGTGCTTTTTCTTTTGCGCACACAAAGCTAGCAAAAATAAAAAAGTTCAGTGCATTTCAAGGTGTTTCGATTGCTCTATTGCCATGTGTTTATGACGCTTGTCGCAAAGTTTTGGCCCTCTAAGCACACTTCCTGCTTCCAGAACTTCTACATGTCAGCGTTGTGGCGGTGCAGTTATTGATAAAAGTAACTGTTCACACTCGTTAACCTAATAAGTACATGTTTACTGCAAGCTTTACGATTATTGAAATCGTGCCCTCTTGTCTTTCGCAATAGTCAAACACTCTGCTTGCATGGTTCCGGCACCCTTTCTTCATGTCATGAAATCGCAGACGAAGCAGCACCTGGAGGCACGGGTGGAGGAGCTGAATGCGGGGCGCCCCCAATGCCCCGTGGGGCTGAACACGCTGGTGATTGCTAGCCGGGCCACGCTGAGCCAGGGCGACAAGCAGCCGTACGTTTACCTGCACTGCGGCCATGTCCAGGGCCTGCACCACTGGGGGCTCCCCGAGGGGGCCTCCAACGTGCGCACCTGCCCCATGTGCCTCAAGGTGAGCTTTTTACCCTTAATTGTGCCAATAACCAGACTTGTTAAACGTCCTCGAAAGATATCGGAGTGCCATATTTAAGACTCTTTGGTACTTTGGCTTTGCATTGTGTTACTTTTGAATTTATGTTACAGTGGAAACCCGATTATGCGACTTTCAGGGGACCACACAAAACCATCATGTATTCCGAGCATTGTATAATCGAAAAACTAAGGATGCAGGCAGTGACACTCAGCCTTGCTAAAAAAATGGGTACAAACCACCTGAATAAGCCCAAAACATGACCTCAAACCTCTGCAAGGAAAGTAGATTAAATTATTCTTGCCAATGGCAGTATTACTTAGCTTAAGCAGGTGCGAGTGAATCCTTATTCTAAACTTTAAGAAATTGAATCTAACGTGCATATTCTGATAAATTGAGTTCGAAAATTGCCTGCGCGGGAAAACCAAACCAAAACCCCGTTGCCTACAGCTTCCGTCAGAAGACACATTGTCATTGCCATCACAATAATGGCAACTGAAGTTCACAAGGCTGCGTAGAATGCCTTTGTGCTCGACTAAGCTGTGCGCATTGTAATTTGTTGCCTTGTGAAGTCCAACTAGAAAAAAAAAAAACGTTCTTTTTAGCGTGCGAAGCAAAGAAAAAGCCCGAGCTTCCACTCCAGTAAAGTATAACTAGCAATGTTGTGCTGTTATAACGAATGCTGATGCCAAGTGAAAGTCATTTTGCTCAGTGAAAATAGCTGCATCTTGTCCTTTCGCATGCTTAAGCTTGTAACCGCGTGTGCCACAAGGCAGGAGATCAGCTGTACGTCGACCAGGAAAAGTTTACATAGACTGAAAAATATGAAAATACCAGAATCTTTTCAGCCAGCTTAAGGTACTCTGAACGGAGCTCTTTTAGGTAATGACCCTGTGTATGCACGCGATTGACGCGTAGGCAGAAGTGTATGAACTGCCATGAGAATAAATTTTAGATTCTAAGACCGTGTCATGAGCTGCCAGTAGATTATCAAGCTGAACAGCGCCAACAGCGCGAGTGCGGATTGCATAATACCTCGTGCACGTGCGTTGTTAGTGGCATTTCTGAGCATGTGTGTGGCAAGTTCACACCTACGAGGCCATACATGCACCATGTCAATAAGCAGGCGGCTAGCCTTGCTTATTGACATGGTGCATGGTGCAGAGATGTGGCAAATGGGCGTACTATCATCTCACAGCACCCTGTGAGTATCTGGTCAATGTTTGATGTAAGCAAAGGGGCGTTTTTTATTTCAGACGGAATCGAAAAATTGCAAGATTCGTGTTTGGGGTACAGCTGTGTTGTATAACCACTGTTTTCAATACATTATCTCTTCAAGGATTATTCCGGGACCAAGCCAATTAGTTGTAAAAAGCGGGTCGTCGCGAAATTTAAGTTCTTTTGTACAAACATTACCAAATTGCTACATGTATACTGCCAGTCTCTTGAACCATGCGTGCGTGCACTGGACGAAGAGAAGGAAAATCTCTCTCTCTCTGTTCAGGCTCCGAGCTGAACTGGTCAGTGCTGCAACCGCTATTAGAAATATATTGTTTAAATGGTGTACTGTTTTGAGGTTTCTGAGGGAAAGTTTATTTGCTTCGTTTTATCTGTTTTGTTGTATCTAGCATGATTGTAAGAAGTTTGAGGTATACTCCTCTGAACACACAGTGTGTCGGCATGCATGCATAATTGATACAAATTGCTGCATTTTTATAACGCTTCACCTTGCTGAACAGGATCAGTTCATGAAATGGCCATATTCAGCGTGTTCATTGAATATAGCCACTTCACTGAAACTGAATTCAATAAATGTATTGAGTTGAAAAGTTGTACGGGTGGTTTTCAAAAATTTGTGTTCTGCCCATTATTTCACTTCTGGTTGAAGTGCTGTATGTTTGCACCTTCCAATAGGCTGTAGGGCCGCACGAAACAGGGATTTGGCGGCGCTGTACATTGTTGTCATACTTATGAGATGTGGCAAATGGGTGTACTATCATTTAATCTCTAGCTGTTCGATTCTCTTGCGTAAATATATTGTGACAAGCTATCAAAGGTGTGGACTTCCTGAAGCTGACCCTGTCAATTTCCTGCTTTGCATTGCATCTTGCAGAAAGGACCTGTGGTCAAGCTGTGCGTAGGCATCGAACCGGCCTTCTACGTTGACAACGACCCACCGAACCATGCTTTCAATCCATGCGGCCACATGGCTTCTGAAAAGACCGTCAAGTGAGCAGCCACGCGCTAGTCTCCATTCCACTGTGACTACCGTAATTACTCGAATCTAACGCGCACCTTTTTTCCGGTTAAGCGAGTTCATAAATCGCATGCGCGTTAGAATCGAGTACGAAAAAAAAATGAATATGGTCATTCTATTGCCATCGGCACTTTCAAAATGGCCGCTCCCCTACGTGCGTCGGCATGGCGCGTCGGCCATTTCTGCCTATGTGTTTCTCATGTGCGGCACTTCGTACGTGTGCTGAGGAGTTCGTCATCTAGTAGTGCATTAGCATCGACGGCGTGGAAGGGCCGACTCCAAAAACTCGAGTGCACCACGATGCCGCTTTTCAAAGAAAAGTCATCGCGTGTGCAGAAACGGACGGAAATCAGGCCGCATCGCGGTCAATCGGAGTTCCCGAAACGTGCGTGCGCGACCGGCGGAAACAAAAGCAGAAGATTGTCGACAGCAAAGTTTCACGCAAAGGCTTCAGTGAACCACAGCAGGGTCGGTTTCCGCAAATTAAAGAGCTGCTCGGCGAATATGTGCTTGAGCAGCGAGCGACACAGTGGCCCGTGACGACAGAACTGCTCCAAGTGCGGGCTATGCAATTAGTCTTAGAAAAAGGTCTAATGCGGAGCCAATTTAAAGCGAGCAGGTGCTGGCTAACTAACTTTATGAAGAGGAAAGGCTTTTCCCTCCGAAAGGGAACATGCATATGCGAAAAGTTTTGCGGAGGAGTACGATGGAAAGCTTCACAGTTTTCTGAGGTTCGTCCTAAACTTGCGGCGCAACAACAACTACCTGCCTGGGCGAATCGGGAATGCCGATCAGACGCCTCTTTACTTCGACATGCCTGGCACCACAACCGTCGAGAAGAAGGGGGCGAAGCAAGTTCGCGTGCTGACATCGGTCCACGGTAAAACTACAGTGACGGCAATGCTCTGTTACACGTCAGATGCGCACAAGCTTTGCTTGTACCTCATATTTAAATGGAAGACGCTCCCGAAAGGAGTCGTTTTTTCAAGTGGTGTGATTGTGTGGGCCAGCGAGAAAAAATGGGTGCGCGTTGCAGTCAATGTCTTACGGTTTTTTTTTTTCGCGGTGGAAATCGGGTGCGTGTTACAATCGAGGGCGCGGTAGAATCGAGTAAATACGGTAATTTGCCTTTCCCAGTGAATGCAATAGGGCTGTATGTAGTGAGTTCTGTTGAACATGATTTTTTCGTATAGATGGACAACTTTACTCAGTGTTGGGATGAGGCAAATCTTTGTACTTTTTCTCTGCTTTTCTGGTAGGGCTACGAGGGATCCTATTGGCAGCTCGTCAGTTTGTAGCTTTGATGCTTGAACGCGTAGAATGAATATCACTGTATTCTAATTTAGAATGAATATCACTGTATTCTAATTTGCTTCGATTCGAATTTAAATAGCCAAAAATTTCAAACTATTCGAAATGAATGATTTGGTGTATGTTAATCCACATGTACCGTAATCCTTTGCAAAGGTGGTTTCACTGCAGTTAAGAAGTGCTAACTCGTGAAACACCCATCCAGGGGAAATGTGCACTGCCGTGAAGCTCTACCTCAAAGCTAAATGAACATGTTTTCCTCACATCAATTCATAATTTTTCAAGTGCAAAAGCTTGTTATACTTGCTTATATGCTGAAAGTATAGTACATTCTAAAACACAGCGCGGTGCAGTCAATGTCTTACGTTTTTTTTTTTTTTTTTTTTCCGGTGGAAATCGGGTGCGTGTTACAATCGAGGACGCGGTAGAATCGAGTAAATACGGTAATTTGCCTTTCCCAGTGAATGCAATGGGGCTGTATGTAGTGAGTTCTGTTGAACATGATTTTTTGCACTACAAGGCTTTATTTGCGTTCTACCAAAAGTCAAACTCTGCTACAATTCAAAGTTGTTTCGACTCTCTTCGTACAACAACAAAAAAAGCATTTGCACAGGCCTTGTTTCAATTTAAAAAAGATATTGTGCAGGTTAATTAATCATGAGAAGTATGCACATTTTTCTTTTTATCACGTGATATTACTATCACATGATAATATCGATTAGAAATTATTCGAAGACCACTATTCGCTTGAACCTAAAATACACTATTTGCACAGGGCTATAGCTTTGTAATGAAGCTCAGAGTTATGTAAAACATAGCGAGGATACCGGCATGAGTTCGAGCTTCCTGGTGCAAAATGCCTTCGGCTGTCTACAGGCCACAGTGGTCTCGTGTTTTGTCAACCATGATAATATAGCAAGCTGGGAACGTTATCACATGATGATGCCGATGCATCCAGTCACAAGTTCAGCAAAAATACTGCCTTAAGTGGCCAGTAGACTTCCCAGGTGTGGGAACCAGAGGACATTGTCAACAGTGGCAACAGATAAACGGGGGCCATGGCTTTCGTATTGCAGAAAATGAGGGAAGAAAAACTAAATATTTTTTGAAAATCACATATTCAGTCTATTTAACCCTTCTAACTGATCTCAAAATTGAGGCCCGTGGGTTTAGATATATGTGCATGTTAAAGCACACCGTAGTGGTAGAAATTTTCAGAGTCCCTCCTCTATGAAGTCTCTCATACTCATATCATGGTTTTGGGATGTTAAACCCAAACAATCATTATTACGATAGCAGTTATATGGACACTCTTGGCTGGATTTTTCTGTCGGCGTCACCGTATATGTATACGTACATACATATATATATATATATTACACCACAAAGAAAATTAATACAGAATAAGATTCAAAGATTCAGGCGGGCGAAATGGAACGTGGGATCTCTGAATTGTGAGTGTGAGGTGTGAACCACTGAGCTACAAAGGAGTCCCTCCTTCAACGTTGAAACGGCAAGCTATTTATATCCACCTCTTACCGCTAGTGATGGGCATCTCGGGAGAACTGTCGTGTTTTCAGCATTACCAGCAAGATGGTGCATTGAGCGTGACGCCACATCGTTACAGCGCGGCGGCGGGCACTTTCATCTCCCACATGTACTTTGCCCCATGGAGAGGGGGTAGGGTGGACCTCACGTGGGTGCTTATCTAGTGGTGGGGACAATCGTATGTCTTTGCTGGCCTTGGGCCAAGACTGGCCTTGGGCTTTGTGGAGATAGGTTTGCACTAGGCTTACCTACCATGTGCAACCGTGTAGGGATGCGACGTCCTCCACTGCCGCTGCGTGCGAAGACGTTGTGGCCGGGTTCGTCGTTTTCTCCGGCACGGCGCAGAAACCACGCACGAGGCAGGATAACAACAACAACGGGTTTATTAACCCAAGCTCCAGCACAGTGCAACACTCACGGGCATGCAGGCCGTATAGGGAACTCCGCAAGACCGAGCAAGTACGCTTGCCTAGGACGCGACGACACCCGCACAAGGGCCGAAGTCGAACGCACGAACGAGAAGCCGCCTGCTAGGCAGCGCGTCAACCTCTCGTGAAGGCCTGAGAGCATCTACCGCGACAAGCGAATTGTCGGGCGCAACACAGCTCATAGGAGAGGAGGATGTCACGCGCGCCCAATGGGAAATGGCGCTGCGTTGTGATGTAGGCCCGCGCAGCGCATCAGCGTAGCGTGCCCGGACATGCCAGCGCGGGAACAAGCCGACGGTTGGCTGGCCCAGACCAAGAGGCGCCCTGGCAGCCATCTTGGCGGATGCCGGTGCTTATGCGCGCCCAAGCTACGCCGGTGGCGCGCGTGCGGCAGCTGGGGAATGAGGCACCAGGTAGGAGGGCGCTCTCGATTCCCACATCCCACCCTTCCTAAGACCGAGGCCGCCCTAAAGACGCCGTAATAACAGCATCCACTGACACCGAAAAAACTGAGGCCCAGCTCCGTGCCGTCCACGAGATCGTCGGGTGCACCGCTGTCTTCGTTCGGCGGCGTCTCAGCAGGAGCCTGGGGCCGCGGGAGGGCGGCGGACACCGCAGCAGCGATGGCCGACTTGAATGAAGAGTCCGTGACGAGCCTGATTGGAGTCGGTCGACAGGGCGGGTTGAAGGCCCGAGCCAGGCGGCACCGCTGGAGCGGACAGGACCGCAGGGGCACCGCCGGACTTCGTTCGGTGAACCCGCGAACGGAGGTGGGTAGCCTCGTGTACCAGCAGGACACCGCAAGCGTTTCAGTAGGAGGGCTCGGGAACAGGCGGCATCGAGGCACCTCCAGAAGCGTCGAGCAGGTCCGAAAGAGTGCGCCCGCGGAAAGGACGTGGGGCGGACTCGGGGTCTAACCCCACCCAGACTTTGCGTTGCTTGGACCAGCGACGAGTCGACACGAAGGCGACTGGGGCCTCAGTGCCTTGTTGGAACGTCCACGTAGCAACTTCACGACGAGGCGGTGTCTTGTTAGCCGGGGCCGGGAGAGCATTTGACGGAGGCGGCATGGACGCGGCTGGTGCCTGCGGTACGGCCGAGCGCGCGGCTGGTCTCCCGGGCTTTTTCTTGGAAGAGCGGGTCACCGAGGAGGACATAACGAAAGCTGGGGTGTCGGTAAAAAGCCGAAACGCAACTGAAGGTACGGCCCCGGAGGCGCGACAGGCTGTCCCAATAAAGAGAGCCAACTCCGTCAGATTGAAGGTTGCATCAGCCAATAGGGCGCATGCTTCCCTTCTCCCGCTGACTACGCGGAAAATACCTAGTGAGAGAGTTAGCCACCGGGGAGAGGGCTTCTCTCTCTCTAGCAGCCGGGAGCGCTGGGAACTGAGTGGATATTCCGTGCGCAGCGCACGTAATGTTGTTACCAGGGAGAAAGCTCGCCAGGTAGCCGTTAGTGTTGCTGCTGGATGGGCAACCGCACAGCAGCTCTAATCTCCGCTCCCTTACATTCAGGGGATGACGTCCCGCTACATGCCAGGGGCGAAAATCAGCCTAGGTGTGTTTTCGCAGGTTGTACCGGTGGCGTGGTTTGGAACCAGCCTTATCCCGGTTTCTCTACGGTTCGATGACCGCCTCCCCCTCCCCGAAGTCGTTGCTGCCGGCAACGAAAGGTTTGAGGTCGG